GAAGAGCTCCGTGCTCTTGAAAACGGAACGTGTATGCAAGCCGGGCTTGCTGGTCGTGGAGGTGACCGTAAAGGGCTTCGAGGGGCCATAGAAGATCCTCATCGAATCCGAGGTGTCGGTCAATTATGCTTGACGTTCCACGATGGAAGGAAGTCAGCTGTTTGCTGAGGCGCTGAAAGCGCGGTTGGGTGACATCGTCACTGTTTGCCCAGCGACGGAGACACGTGTCACGGTCCCGAAGGTCCCTGTGGACCTCGAAAACAAGTCCCTTGACTCTGATAGCTTGGAACGGTATCTAGTCTTAGACTTGAATGCAAGGTATGACATCATCCTAGAATAACATGGTTGGAACACCATGAGTCATGGGCACTACGCACACGTCTCCCAGTGGATCGTTGGTGAGTCATGATCGACCTTTGCTAGGAGATAAAAGCGCTATTAGCGAGAGCACTGGACCGAGACGGTCAACGTGCTGGACATTAGAACGTGCGAGTTGGTAGACTCAATGATGTATCGGACCGGAAATCCGAGCGTGGCTCGTGGGATGACCGTGGAGTGGCACGTAACTCACTTAGCGCTGCTCAAGTTTGGAGCAGTCGCTGCATGTCATGCGTGGCATGGTCTGCCAAGGGCCGAGGCTTTAAAGGCAAGGCCCCTGTGATGCACGTGAGGGGACACATAAACCAATGAGCACTGCTCTTATTGCGAAGCAGTCGCTGCATGCCATTGAAGGCGTGGTCGGACAGAGTCAGAGGCATCTGGGGCACGATCCTCCCAATGCGCGTGGAGTGGCACGATTCTCACTGGACGAATACTGCGGGGTTAGCAGCTCTTCGGCGGATGTGTAGATAACATCGGAGCTCCAAAGGGGTGGACAGTGAGGGTGACATCGGACGACGCAGTGTGTGTGTTCACCCTGCCCGTGAGCGCTGTCGGAGCCAGAGAGACCTGGAGACTTTGGTGTCATTGACACAGGGTTATTGAGCACGGAAGTCGTTTCGTTCCAACGCAGTGTCTTACGGACACGCAAGCCTCGTTGAGGCAATAATTGATTGAAACTGTGAATGTTCTCAATCTTAATGAGGGATGGTGTAACGGATTTACACATACCCTGGTAACAGGGGGGTGTCATACCAGATGGGCATGGTGTCACCACGCGCAAACAAGACTACAGTACGGGGCTGAATAGCCAGTAGTTACACATGTTTTTAGTTTTTACTATACACATTTAGGAAAATCTATGCATTTTAAATTTGGCGGCTTTGCCGCAGATAATAATGAATAAAGTCAGTTTTGGATTTGAAACGAAGAGTTAATTAGCCGTGGGTTAAGGTCATATTTACTCTTGGAGTAAGCGGATTGCGATCCGCTAAACTCGAAATTGTTCTGAGTATGGAACGAGAGATCGGTGACCTAACTTACGCTTTCTCAAAGCACAAAGCTACGGTAGCCCCGCTTCAGGTCGAGTACTTGCAGTCCATAAGTATAGACCATGTTTTCATTCTACACGCAATGTGTACGGTGATACCAGTGTGGTCTTTGTGGGCCCTTTGAGCAATATGGTTCATTATGGTCATGTCAACGACCACGACCAGTGATAATACGGCCAAGTTAATTCTGGATAGCATTTCTTCGCCAAAATGGCTTGCTGGTAACCATTTAATGAGGCTTTTAGCAATTAATTATTGCTAAAGAATGATTTCAAGGTGATCGACACCAGACCAGACATGTCGACTGCTAGCCACCCGCAAACATGTAGTCAGGTAAACGCGTGAATTGCGTTATGAATGATATTCATTGAGATTCTAGCGCGATAAATATTGGTGATGGGGCTAGCTGCCTAAACTCACTGACCTTTCTTCAAAAAATTCAGTCGGTATCTAAACGGACATTACATCATTTTACATTAATGGTGTGGGACGCCCCGAGTGCCTTTGATACCGCCATGATGTAGCCCTAGTAGTAGTGGAAGGTAGGACGCTGATCGTAATCGACTTGCTAATGCGCACGAACCCAACATCTGTGCATTTGCTAACACAGATTTTGAGAGACGAAGATTTCTCGGTGTAAAGTTTGCTTCAGCCTCGCTTTCGATCTTTTCATCGATTTCTTAATATGTTGTAGACTTGATGTTCGTGCTTAAATCCTATAGTTGATTGGTAAGACACGAGTATCATCAGATCCAATTTTTCGGGGCTAGCTGCACCGATAGGAAGAGAATGTGCAAAGACTAGATCTGCATTCATATCTTCGTATCATGTTTAACATGTTTCAGCTTTCAATGGTTACAAAACCATTCGTCCTCATACCGGGTTGTGCTACCTTTAATTCGAATTATTAACTGATTTCTTACATACTCGATCGTGCGTACCATCCCAGCTTTGCCTGAGTGCAATCAAGGCAAGCAACAGCAAGATTTCCATCACCTTTAAAGCTACGACATGTGAAAAGATTCTGCGTTTATGGTTCTTGCCAGTAAGAAAAGGCTTGGCCACATCGAGATGAAGGCGGCAGGTACGATTGCGCATGCGGCTACTAAGTAAAAGACCATGGATCCCAATGCGCCGGCTGTTACGCGAGACTGCTCTTCCGATGCACCAGTGAATGATTCAAACTCGTTCTCCTCCGCTGAGACATAGACAACTCTAAGCAAAATCCGTAGGAACTGAGACTGGAGATCGGGTACACTGCGCTCGTGAGAAACGTGCTCTATGGCTTCGGTTATAACTGGAAGCTGCTATCAAAACTGGTCGTAACTGCGATCAAGGCGATAAGGAGGCAAGTCTTACATTTTGTACAATCATCGGCTAGCAAAAAAAAAACAGAAAAGCTCTACACGCTATACACTGCGTAGCAAGTTCCAACAAAAACGACATCAATGAAATGTAAAGTGTGTCGACGACGTGAGGAAAATCAATCCTATGGCACACCCACCTCAGTCACGTTGCTTTGGAGCGTGTTGTTGTCCTTCAATTTGTTGTTGATAGGGTGCACCAATTGTCAATTTATTTTCATTCGGAGAGCTGTGTGTGCGGAAAAATGTCCGTCACATATTTCGCCAGGATATTTAACAGTGTGGACAATGGTGATAACTCGCAATGATTTGAACAGCCAATCGATGTGAAGCCAAATGTCGAGGCCGATATGTGGCTGCCGATGTGGACGTCAGGTACGTTACAACCAAATACCTGGTTGTACTCAAGATTGAATTGCGCGCGAATGACAAAGCGTTTACGGCTATCCTGGAAGCCCACATATTCAGGCGCATTGTATGCACCCAAATAGACAATGGCAAAATATTGCAGCAGCGGTTAACTAAAATCTGCACGCATATGGTATCTCCATCAGATCAGTTCCCTACTCACCACTGTAAAATGGACTTTACGAGCTAATTAATTGCTTGGCAGCTAAAATATCACAAACAATTATATATCAACAGTAGCTAATGCATGGAATAGTAGCATATACATATAATCTCGTGGGAATCGAGTGATTTTAGTCATGTATCTTAAAAACCATTATCTCTTTCCAATTATGTTGCAATTTAACCGCAGTATTATCAAGGCTTCCATTTCAAACGTAGAATTGCGTGCGTGTTTGAGGCTGTCTCGAAAACCATTTGTACTACCTTGGATGTTGACGTCAACTGAGGTAGTGACATCGTGATACGTCACTTTACTTATGAGGTCTCGGTTGTACTAGACGGTATACAAGTCCAACCGTCAAAGAGTGGTGGCTCTGTCATCAGCTGGAGCCAAGTCTATGGCTTGTCTATCCGTCTTCTTCGGAAGCTCAGTATTAAGACGGTATCCGCAATAGTGAGGAACATGTACATTCAAGCTGCTAAGGCGATAGCTAAGCACGCCTGATGCTAGTCGCATACTTGACCCTTCGCCCACTTCCGCTTTGTTCGAGATTCAGTCAACGAGAATTATCTCAAGATTTAAAATGTACCGTTCCGCACGCAGATTGCAGACTTTTAACCAAGGGACTTAGACATCGCAGTTTAAGATAGACAATTTTTAATGGGCAGGTCCCGTTACACATGTTGTGTGAACCACATACTCTGTGTGTCTGTACACCCCGTGTAGTGCATATATCCTGTTCCAGTTATGCTGTACCAGAATTATCAAGATAGAGAGGTTAAAAGCCTATTGGCTATAATGATAAGTGTCATTTCAGCTGGCAACACGCGGTGGGGAGTGTCATTTGACCTCAGCCTTTCTCAGAAAGTGAGTGCCAACATTTATATCATTTGCATCTTTTCGAGGCAGCACAAAGGCGGTATCTATTAGCGCCATGCAGCTAGACAAGGACAACGAGGCAATAACTATATTCATTGCGATGTCGTCAATTTTTTTGTCAAGCCAAAGAAATTTTCAGCTATTAAGTGAAATTTTTCTGGGGGTCGTATTCCACCCAGTTCGGGTCATCAGGTCGATTTTCGTTACACTTGGTAGTACTATAATCATCTCAACGTCGACTGCTTTGATGGATTTATCGATGGATAATGTGGATACCGCAGGCGGTAGTCGTCCTCGGATCAATGAGGAGAAGTATTCGTTCTTAACACAGTCGCAGTGTGAGTGCGTGCCGAAGCTGCGAGCTATAATCAAAGATCACGCTGTCTTCGATGTGCACCACTTATATCACGAAGCGATAACTCAACGCTTAGCAAGTTTTGCTGCGTATGATCTAGGATTATTAAGATTTCTATCGCAAAAATACAGACGCCGGTTCCGTCATCACCTCCTCCACAAGTGGTGGTGACATCGTGAATACACACGACCGTCCCGTGAAATTCGAGGTGAAACGATTTCAGGGAAATGATGATCTAAGTTTTGCGTTCTGGCAGCGAAATGAACATAGCTATCTCGGTGACTCAAATTCGTGATGACCGCAGTCAAGTGAACCTTGCCATATCGAATTTGGATTACTGTGCGAAGGATTAGGATGACATGGGATGTCAACCCTGGCTCCTCTGCCACATGACAATAGTTGAAACCTCATGGTATTGATGTTCCTTCCACCGAATGTGGCGTTTTGAAAATAGCCCACGTTCCTGCCATGCTGTTAAGACAACGGCACGTTGTTCGACTATACACAGAAGTTGCGTGAGCTTCGTGTCATTATGGCAAGTGAACCACAGACAAAGGCAGTGATGGTCAACGTGTTTGTGAAAGAACTTACTGAAGGTCATCCTAAGTCCGAAGCCTTCCGCCAGAGTCCGGTAACTCTGGAAGATGCGAATATGTTTAAATTGCGTGAGGACTACTGTCGCGTCAAGCATGTGGTCAGTCGGTTAAATCGATGGACGCAGTAACTGCTGCTCCAGAAATCCAGATTTGAAGGTGGTGTCCATAGCCATCAAGTTCGCCGTAATGTATGTCACCATTTTGGTCACATCCGCCGTAATTGTCTATGTGAGAGACGAACCTCTCAAAGTGATCTTCGTCGTAGTGGTTCCGATTCGCGTGGTACCAATATCACGAGGCGTTCAGGTAGTGCCAAAACCCAGTAGATGCAGAGCAGTCTACTGGGGTAATTATATGCTCTTGTAACTGTGGTGATCGAATCAGTCATGAGGGTTTGGCCCTCGAAGGTCCGTTATCTTCTTAAATGACATGTCAAAGTGGTCTCCGCGTGGTCACAGCGATTGCTAAGGGCAAAGGTCATCCTTTTAGAGTACCCTGGCGCGTCGTGTGATTATGCACGGAAGCTCAATGTTTCGGGAAATGATCCAGTGCTTTCGGATGCACTAGATAAAAGAAACGGCTTTATTCAGCGAAGTTGGCCACTGATGCTGTGGTCACTGCGAAAACGTTACGACTGATTTTTAACTGAAGTTTGAAGACTTAAATTTGAGGAAGTACTCACAATCCTTGAGATAGACAAACCACATGACGTGATTTAGAAATACCGTGGCTTGAGAAGCATAATCCATGGATCAGTTGGCGATCAATAACGATAGCTTCACTGGCGTAGGTGATACTCTTGGAAGTAGTAGAACCACTTTCATTATGCACCACAAGTGCTCAGTCGTCGTATGTCACTGAAATGATCCATACTGCATTGGTGTAAGACACGCAATAGGCATTTCCCAGGTCAGGAAAGATACAAAGTCGTATGGATTGGCCTCGGGTGGTCACTCAGAAGGTTGTCGATGGGTCAAGTGAAGCCCAGAACTAGCCATTCGGAAAAGGATGAAACGTTAGTGGGAAGTGGACAAGCACATTCGCATGTAATATTACCATCATGGCAAGTAATACGCTGAACTAACCCACCTGCGGACTCAACCGCATCCAGAGCGTGAGTAGCGGTACCGCGATCCACAAGTTCCGTTGAGTCCTTCACATTGTGCGCTCGAGCACACAACGGGTGGGAGCATCACCTTTGTGGTCAGTTGTACTCACTGACCTACAATCTATTTTTGTAACATTCATGGTGAATTGCCCAGTGTAAGCATTAAAGAAAGAGAGGTACCGGTTGTTCCCCATCAAGACAAGAATGTTGTCGAAATGTGTGTAATGAAAAGTCAGAGCTGTAGCTGGTTGTGCTAATACTCCCACTAGTACAGTGGATGAGTCGGATTGTGGGTCAGTGGGTACAACTGACCACAAATGTGATGCTCCCGCCTGTAGTGTGATTGAGCACACAATGTGAAAAAATCAACGTGATTTTTTATTTTGTGAAATTGATTCTACTGTTCTGGATGCGGTTGAGTCCGCAGTTGAATAAGTTCAGCGTACTTCTCCCCATGATGGAACTGTAGCATGATAATATGCTCGTTTATTAAATGTGTTTGCAACGATTGGTTGTGAAAATACCAGAACAGAAAATTTTCGGCACCGTTACTGATGATGAAAAAACTGATATAGCTCGAGGAAGTCACTTTCGATGAACTTCTACACAACCTCAAGTGTGATGGCATTGTGGAGGTCGTGTTGCTACAGTCGAAGGTCGACTCAGCAGAACTACGCTCAACATCATTTATGATTAATTCGGTTCTTTAGAAATTTGACAGCGTGTGTAGACACAAAAAGCATCTGCTATTTTGAAGGATCCAACTGATACTTATTATTCACTTGTTCAGGAATACAAGGAATACGTCATTAATGCGAACCTCGTTGTCTGGGTTTCCACCCGAACGTGTTGTTTGACACAGAATTGTCCGTGAACTCGGTTTGAATCATGCAGTTCTTCTGCAGTGGCCACTGTTGCCTTAACAAAATGAATAAATCAATGAGATCTTTGCTCAAAAGAATATTGCTGGGTTGGTGAGGAAGAGCAAGACCCGTCACAGCGCACCTACGTTTTGTGTGCGTGACCAAATGGTAATTGGCGTATCATAAACGTCTGTAACAAATTGATTTCGCATACAATTCCCGCGTAGACTCCGATTCATAACCATACTGTATGTCCGGCTGTACATAATTTAGCTAACTTGATTTGGTCGATGGATAATAACAAATCTTGACGAGGGAGGTGGGCGTCTTTTTGACGGCTATTAGTACACTGTCCGGTATGGCTTGTAATGCTGCAGGGATCATTCAGTGCCCCAGCAACGCTCAATCCATTGATCTCCCATTTGTTTCGACCACTGCGACGCTTCGCACAACCTATATTTTCGTTCGTTTGAAGGACGAAGATGGCAGATCCGACGAAGATATGCACTTTGAACACTTCCGCGTGGTGCTAGAATACATGAATATTCATTTCAAGCGAGTCTATCTAAGTTTAGTTTTGGTGCTGTCGAATTACCGATCCTCGGTTGTGATGTTGGTGAACACGGTGTGTGCAGACCCTGAGAAGGTCAAAGCAATCGTGGAGTGGTGAAATCAAACAATTTGAAAAATGGACTGCTTTGTTCAATTATCTGCATTGCTTTTCGCGGAACTACGCGAATGGCACGTCCGCTTTCAAATTTGTTGAAGAAGGACGTAGTAATTCTCTTGTGAGGAAGTGATCCCTATAATAAAGACTATACTTGCTTTACCAAATGATACGAAGCCGTATAGCGTAGTGTGTGAAGTTTCTGCGCTTGCAATCTATTATTGCAAAAATAACAATTGTGTTGTGTTAATTGTTTGAATTGAAATGTTCCCGAGCACTCTTTATTTTTCGCTGTCAAATATTAATATTTTTATATGGATATTTTGTATCAAATGTCAATTTGTTTATTGCTGAATGCATATGCCATCTAGTTAAATTAGTAATATTTCTGAAAAATTGTGTTTTATTGATACTCCATAGCAAAAATCTGCTTCCTATTTAAAAATATATGTGTACCACAACATGATCTAACGTCACACAATTTGTCTCAACAATTGCATCCAATGTTCCAAATCAAAAATGAAGTCGCTAAAAGTGACGGAAAAGTTCTCGTGATTGTTGACGATGAGATGAGAATCCGAGAAACGTATTAACGAAGAAAGAAAATGAGCCTCCTCGGGGTACACTGATGAACAGTTGGTTGGTTAAAGGTGAACATCCGGACAAAATTTATGATGACATCGTAAATTTTAATTTACCAACGTTTTACGCGTGGATAGAGTACATCGATGTGTACCTGTCGACAAATGACAAGAAGTTGATATAACCAATTTTATCATTTCATCAATATTTCTCCCTTCACCCTGACGTAGTGGTCATTGCAATTGCCACAAATGCACTTGAAAGAAGTTTCGAGTTTAACAGTCAGCTGCTATCCTATCTGATGTGCTACTGGTTCAATAGCTTAGAAACAACAGACGAAGTCGACACGCTGCTCAATAGTTTTGAAAAGAAACACGTCGATGGGTCTTTAATGAAAGATAAGTACAAACAGTATTACAAAACATGAGCAATCCTAAGATACTTATGAATTTCAAGATGAGCACCACGGCTACTATATCACAGCAAATTCGGCCAAGACAGTAGGCTTGTTACCTGTTCTTTTTGCTTGTTTTGGTGAAAATGTTGCGGCATCTGTGATTTCAGCCGCAAAAACGGTCTCAGATACTGCAGCCAAGGCCAATGGGCTTAAGATCGAGCAGGTTACGCATTGGGTAGCCATGAAAGATCTGGCTGAGGTTCTCAAACAGTATTCAAAGCTTGCGGTCCATCAGCACACTGTTCAAGATTTTTGACCAATTTTTTGATAAGAACCAAAGGCCGTTATTTAATTTGATGGCGACGCTGACAAAATACTCTACTGAAGAACGGCTAGTTCAAATCGTGATGAAAGAGGAGAAAGATGCAGATGCTGACCGATTGAGGACACGGTTGTTCCTGGACTGGTTCAACAGCTTGAAAAGCGATGAAGATGTCTTGAATCAGCTTCGCCGCAGTGGGTTAGACATTAATAGTGTTGATTCTTGTTATGAGTCGTTCAAGGAGTTTTGCACGAACAAGGCCGAACTTATTAAATCCAATTTGTCCGAGAACGTACCAACGCCAGCAGGCAACACGATTGACCACGACAGCAATTATGATAGTTTGATGCTCAGTGCGTACGAGACGTTTCTTGCCAATTG